CCCTCCCCCAGAAGGGACTTGGTTAGTTAGGAGCTTTTCAGGGGTCAGATTAAGCATCCAAGAATATTTTTATCACCCATGAAAAAAAAAAGTGATGTCACTTTGCTGACAGGGGCGTCATGAGTCTCATACCCAAAACTCTGTTCAAGCTCAGGGTAAGAATGTACAAATTCAATTGTCACTAAACAATCACTGTGCAAAAAATGTACTGGCTCAACAATTGGGTGAAATTTATATGGAGAGTCATGTATGTCCCTTGCTAGTAAGATACATTACAGCTACCATGGTTAATGTATTCAAAATTGAATTGAATCACAAGTGGATGACTTTCCTGCTCTAATCATCCATAGTAAACGTATACAATTACAAGGCAGACTCCTTTTGCCAAACAGAATTCTCAGATTGGGAAAATGGCTTGCAGTTGATGGAGGACCCCGGAAACCGCCCAACATGTGGGTGACGTTGTGGAAAGTAAGGCGCGCCCTAGGAGATTTCTCGTACTTCTCCGCTCTGCAACGCGTCCTACTCCAATTTTTTGTCCGGGGTAACTTGCTTGATGGTCTTGTAGGTAGGTAAAATAACTCTCTTAATTGGTTTTAGTAGGTAATACTCTAACTCTATTCTATCTCTAACAATTCTTTAGGCTAATACACGATTCACTCCTAGGTCACTCTGTTTTTCTGATATGTTCTGAGTCATAAGTCTCCCCCCCCTCTCTCCCCTCTTCTGCTCCGAACTCCACTCCTCCCAAGTATCCCACACTCCAGCTCCTTCCTGCTTCCCACGATGTCATCCGCTGTCACCCCCTCAGACTCCGCCTGTCACCCCTCCGACGCCTGTCGGTCCAGGTACTCCTCCGGCCGCTCATAAGCAGGTCTCCCACCGCCGCTTCCGCCTCTGGTCCGCTCCGAACCCCGCTTCCGCCCCTCGGTGCTCCCCGCTCCTTGTAGCCCCTCCGCAGTATACGCTGAACCCCCGTTCCGCAGTCGGCCGTGAACCCCGGTGTCCGCCGGTGCCCAGATTCCCCCACAGCAAGCTTTTCAGAACCTTGCGCATTCGGCCTACTTTTCCCCGCTTTCCCGCGCCTCGGAAAGCTAGAATTTCCACTAATGCACCGCCGCTTTCCTCAGCCTGCGTGCGTAGCGTCAGCTCCGCGTGCTTTCCGCATCAGCCGCGAGCATTCCGCATGCCTCCAAACAAACCGGCCAAAGCTTTGGCCAGGTCGCGCTCTCGCTGCCACAACATAGACATGAATTAACAAAAACCCAGGTTGACTTTCAACCATCCATGGGAATTGGGATCATTTTAGCATGGGGACATGTACAAGGAAGAGGTGCATCT